AACTGTATAACATAACATTTATCAAGCCTTTGGTAATTCAATCGTTACACAACATTTTTTCCTCATTTACCAGCCCACTAGTATCCATGGGGATCCATACGGCGTCCCGCTACCCGTTAACCCTTAACACTTGAAATCATATTCCAGGGCCGTCCCCATACCCCGTCCGGTATGGGCGCCAAAACTATAAACCTCATTACCCCGTCCGGTATGAGGGTGAAACGGGCCGTCCCCATACCCCGTCCGGTATGGGCGCCAAAACACATAAGATCTCCATACCCCGTCCGGTATGGGAGACCACAATCCCGATAGGGTTCCCTACGGACCCGGTCCGTCCACCATCTCCCAGGATATCTAGTCAGGCTGACCACATTATACAATTACCCATTTACATAATCTTTCATTCTCTTTTCCCTCAGTCAGCATCATCAATCCACATACAAACAAGCAAAATGGTAATTTATGCCAAACAGACAACATACAGCATCAATATCCCAGTCATTCAATCCATAATCAATAAAACAGTAAAATATGCACACGAAACTATAAAATGAAAACATCAAACCTCATACTGTATTTAAAACTGTAAAATAGGCCAAATAACAGTTAACCGACCAACACACTAGACTCGGGCTCCATTGGCGACCTTAAGCAATTTCACACATTCGTTGATTCAAGAATTACTGTTTTATCATTATTGAACTTTAATACCATGATAGGAAATAGGGTGAGGGGTCCTTACTCGTTTCGGGGTCCGAACACGGCTTCACAGTGCGCCTACAAGCTGTCCCTAATTTTTCCTGAATTTTTTCCGGGAAACTGAAATGCACTACTGGTACCTGCACGTGTTCCAAAAAATCCCAAATTAGGCCCAGGGCCCCTTTTTGGCCAATATCGCAACTCCGGCACGGCGGCTCTGCCGTGCTCCGGCGACGGCGATTCGCATCGGTTTGGCCGTTTTCGGCCGAATTCGGCCACACTTGCATCGGTCCTTGCGATAAAACAACCCTAGGGCCCTCGGGGGGCCAAAAAATTACGAAAAATCGAAGCTTACCGGCGGTGGTGCTCTCAGGTGCGGCGGCTCTCTGGTGAGGTTCGTGTTTTGGTGATTCGGCTCCGATCAACCTGTAGAGAAAAGAATGGTGATCACGGTGATATAAAAATTGCATCAAACGGAGGTCGGGAAAGGCCTCATCGGAGGCAAAAACCGAGGAGGGGCGCGGCGGCGCCGCTGGGTTTCGGCCGTGTTTTCCGGCCGTTTGGCCGGGGTTTTGGCTCCGATTTGGCCACAGGGGAAATCAGCGTGGAAAAATGAGTCGGCGGTATGAAATTTACCTCGATCGGCGGTCGAAAATCTCCCCGGTGTGGCGGCGGGTGGCGGCGGTCGGCGTCTCCGGCGTCTGGTTCGTCTTTTCCGGCGAGGGCAGGCGGCTAGGGTTTTTTGTGGTCAGGTGTGGGGGTTCTATTTATACCTTTTTGCCTTTTGATCTCAGCCGTCCATTTTGATTTAATCTGGGCCGTCCGTTTTTTATTGAATCTGGGCAGTCCGTGCGATTGCATCTGGGCCGTCCGTGCGCACGCTTGATCTGGGCCGTCCGATCGCGCGTACGCGGATCGCCAACGTGGCCCGTTCTCAGTCGACGTGGTTTTGCCACGTGGCAGGTCCTACTTGGTCAGGACTGCTGATTGGGTCTGCTGACGTGACTGCTGACTGGGTCTGCTGACGTGACTGCTGACTGGGTCTACTGACGTGACTGCTGACGTTGTGTTTTTTTTTTTTAAACCTAATTAAATATAATCATTTTTTTTAATATTTTTCGGGTGTTACAATAATGTAAATAATTATCCATTTAAATATTTTGAATATAAAAATAAAATATGACTACGATTATGTATTTATATAATTTATTATAGTTAATTACAAAATTTGAAATTATATACCATACAAATTTTTTCTTTTTTTTATTATATATATTTTAATGATATATAATTTTTTCATATAAAATAATATTTATATTGTATTATATATATTATAAAAATTATATTTTGTGGAGGGGATGAACGCAGCGCGTGTATCCGTATATATACACACATATATACACACACGCATACATATATTTATATATACACATATATATATATATATAAGTAAATAAAGACGTCCAGAAGTCTTGAGTATAAAAATAAAATTGGGCCACCTCTGAAATAAACGAAAGCTTCGCTATTAAGACTCTGCGACAAGGTCCTGTATTGCATTTCTGGACAGGAGAGGAGAAAGAAATGAGGATATTCATGTTAGGAAGAGACTAATAAGTGTACAGAATGCAAATTCTTCAGTTCTAAACATTTTACCGACTGCAAATACGTGGTGATTCATTCTATACGTACATATAGTTGATTTGAGCTTGAGTTTGTGGTTGTGTAGGTTTATGCACAGATATAGCGGAGAGTATTTGATTCGTGTAATTTGAAATCATAGACAGAAACTGTCGGAGAATTTGTTTGATTGGTACAAGTATTTGGAGAGAAAATTGTTTGTAACCATAAGGAACAGAGCTTTTTGGGGACGGCGATGACGAAGTTGAAGGAATAGTGGATAAGAGGAACCGAGTGGAAATGGCATTGCATCCGTCGTCATCATCGACACCACAATCAAAGCCCCAAGTAGACGAAAGCCAAACCCTAATTCCTGGTCTTCCGAACGACATAGCGGCTTTGATCCTGTCTTTTGTGCCGTACTCGTACCAGTCGCGCGTCAAGTGGACCTGTAAGTCATGGTACCTTTTTCTCTCGTCGAAAACCCTAATTTCTCTACGTTACAAACACAGACACCTTTCACATCTCCTTTGTGTCTTTCCTCAGGACCCTTCAATCTCCTCTCCTTACCTGTTTGACCCCGAGAACCTCGCATGGCGAGCTCTCCCTCCTATGCCCTGCAACCCTCATGTCTATGGCCTCTGCAACTTCACTTCCGTGGCCCTCGGCCCCAACCTCTACGTCCTCGGTGGTTCCCTCTTTGATACTCGCTCCTTTCCGTTGGACCGCCCTATGCCTTCGTCATCTGCATTCCGTTACAATTTCTTGACGTCCTCTTGGGACTGTCTTGCTCCAATGCTGTCCTCTAGGGGCAGCTTCGCGTGTGCCGCAATGCCCAATCTGAACCAGATCATCGTGGCTGGTGGCGGTTCTAGGCACACGCTGTTTGGTGCTGCAGGTAGCAGGTTGAATTCTGTGGAGAGGTATGATGTTGAGAGGGATGAGTGGGTGGAAATGGACGGATTGCCCAGGTTTAGAGCTGGATGTGTTGGGTTCTTGGTTGGGGATGGGGAGGAGAAGGAGTTTTGGGTGATGGGTGGGTATGGGGAATCAAGGACGGTTTCGGGTGTGTTGCCTGTGGATGAGTATTATCGGGATGCTGTGGTTATGGAGTTAAACAAGAATGGTGGTGGCAGCTGGAGAGAGGTTGGCGATATGTGGGGAGAAGGAGAGAGGACTAGGCTTGGGAAGATTGTTGTCGTTGAGGAAGAGGGTGGTGGCAGGCCTGTTATTTTCATGCTGGATGAGAGTGACATCTTCAGGTAATTTCTTGATTGCTTTTGATTTTACTGTTTATCTTTCTGGTTAGAACCCTGCTCCTGTTGCATTTAATATTGATTGTTCTTTTGTTGCTCTGCTATAGTTGGAATTTGATCTAATTTAAAGTGAATGAGTAACTGAATATTAAGCTTTTACCTCTGTGAACTGCATCTGACTCATCAAATTTGGCCTTCTTGGATTCTATGCTATAAACTTATAAATTCTAATTAGTTAATGGCTTGGAATGTATCAGTTGTGAACTTTTGTTGATAGTAGTAATGGCAGCTACCTTGAGCCCCTTATTTGAGGATTACGTTACTGCTGGTAGCTGTGCAGTGGAGCCTAACAGTGATAGAGTATTTTCTATGTAAACGAACAACAAAGTAATAGCAACCTCGAGTTGCTGGTCTCACTTCAAAATATCTGACGTACAAAATCACTCAATTGCTCAGATATTTAATGTCCCCTTCTAGTAAACTTTATGAGGGAAGTTTTTAAATTATAACTTTTGTCAGAGAATCAATGCATTGTATAGGACAAATGCAATGAAAATCTTAAAATTTAATTTCTTTATTGTTGGAGAAATAGATAGTTAGAGAGTTGGATCGGATAACTAAGAGACTTGCAATAGCAAAACTGGGTATCAATAGACAGTATCAAAGGGCTTCACATAAAGCACAAGTGATTGACGTGCATGTGGAACTGGCAGTGGTGTGAAAAGGAAGGGGGTGCAAATAACAATCTAAAATCTTTTTCTTGTAATATTTTCTTTCAGCTGGATGACTTATCCACTGCACCTCTTGTGTTGTTTCCTTCTCTTTTCAATAAGACTTCTGTTTCTATAAAAAAAAAATAGTACTAATAGAATTAAGAAATATTTCTAATAATACAAATAAAAAAACTAAAAACTAATATTTCAATTTAAAAAAACACTAAAAACTAATCAGAATAAAATTCTATAGTTATTAAGACTATAATAATAGATACCTAAATAGTATAATAGTTTTATATCTAATAAAATTATGATTTTTAATCTATTTAGGTAATCTAGATTTGATTTGTTCTGCATAATTCTTGCTTGGTTAGAGAAAACTTGTTCACAAGTTTTGTAGTGGCAAAGTGAAACATTGATCTTCGAGCTTCTCCATGAAAATTTAACAAGTCCTATGCCCCGGTCATTGTTTTCGGTAACAAACATAAAAGAAACACATAATTGTTTAAAAGTGTCAAATTCTAGCAGAAAGATGAAACTACATGGACCAACGGGTGTTTCAGGTTCCTCCTTGCATGAAATTTCCATAAAGTTGTCTTTTGGAGAAAGATCTTGAGCAATAAAACACATGGTAGTTCTCCTTGCCCCTCTATTTTTGGGGTTTGCGGATATGCACCAAAAGAAAGGTATTTACTTGTCCACTAGGAGCTAAATCATCTTCCTCGTGGGATTCATTACCATAATCTCTTCTTTATATCTCCTTCTTTTGTTTGAATTTGAATATGCAAGTTCTTCTTCTTTTGGGATTTGAAACCCATATGTCCATTCTGTCCATACCTAAAGTGAACAATTTCCATAGCTTTAGAAGGAGTCCTAGAAATTGATTTTGATCCATTATTCAACTCACTTTTTGATCCAAAGGTATCATAATGAGTGGGTTCCATAGCTAGGAACTCAATATTTCTTGAAATTTGGGTATTTTAAATGTTCTTAGAGCTCGTGCTATGGTTTTCTAGAAGATTGTTGAATTTATTCTCTTTTAGTTTCAACTCTTAATCTTGTCCTGAATCAAGATATTGTTTGATTATCATCTTCTACTAATTGACTCCAAATATTATATTCTTCAAAGTTGTATTGGTTTTCAATTATTGCATCTTCCCCAAAATAAAATATAACTTGATCAGGAAGTTTGTCAAAGCTGTTGAGAGTTAAATACACCTCATGAAGTGTGGCTTTCATCTCATTTCATGTTTTAGTTGTTGATTGTCTCCTTGTTACAGTCTTGTCAATGCTATACTACCATATCTTTTGTGAGTCGAAACAACTTCATTTTGACAAATCTAACCCTTTGTGTTATCTTACATGTCACACTAGTTAAAGCATTCTTCCATTGATGAGTTAAAGCCGTTTGAGGAAGAAATCAAGATCTCTTCTTCCATCAAAATCATAAACTTTGACTTTTACCTTTTTGGTAACATCTCGAGCATATCGTCAATGTGTTTTCTAATACTGGCTTCGACAACTTGCAAATTTTAACTAGTGAAGCTACTTGTGAAATGTGCAAACGTCTCAGGTCTTTGAAATTGTGTTGATTGTGTTTTTCATTGGTTTGACTGTGGTATTAGTGTCTGTAGCACATGCATCTTTCCTAGTGTTTAATTCAGCTGTAGTCACAACCATAACTTTCTTTGTTTCATTTGTTTGATTGATCTCCTGTCCATCAGTTCTCCTGGTGGCAATAAGATGGTTCAATGTCTACTTATCTGAAAACCATGGGAGCTGTTTAAGGATCTATAACTACCAATAGTAGAATAGAGTTGGAATAGTCTTTTAGGACATGAAAGTATAAGAATTGCGGTAACAAATGTTGGTGAAATCCCTGAATATCTCTAAGATTGGGAAGTTGGATTGTCACTGAGTTAGTGTCTGGAGCTGCCTCTTGAAGGGCAGGAAAGGAAATTTATCCACTGAGGGTAAAAGTGTCATTTCACCCATTGATTCGGGTTAGGTTGACTAAACCCTAACTGTTATTGCCAGACCCGCAACTGCTGCTGCAACCAAAATGACCATGCGATGTCCTCCTCCAACGCCGTTTGGCTGCAATGCATGTGGCCTATAGATAGTTTAGCATTTTACTAATGTGATTATCAAACAAAGATTAGATTGTTTACCTCAGAACTCTATTTTCCTCTGCTCTTTCTCCCCTCTTTTTCTCTTCTTTCTCTCTTTTCTTTTCTCAGCTCAGAAACTATGTCCAAGGCCTCTGACAGTTAGTCTCTTTGGTAAGTTTGGTTTTTTAGGCATGTAGACGTGACTTGTAAGGGCCAGAAACTCTGATTTCCCATCTGTCAATTATGGTAGATTGTTCTAACGATAGCATACAGCCTTTTAAAATGAACTTATATAATGTGAACATATTTAAGATGTCCTTACATAAAATATAAACTAAAGTGTATAAATTTATATGATGATGGATATTTGGACTTGCTGTTTGTCAATTTTAGTTTCAAACATTAACAGCATAGTTTTACACATCTGACATTTTCGGCCTCAAGTTAGGCGGAGCTTTTAATGTGTGTGCATGTGTTTCTTTCTATATATATTTATATATATCTTACTAATAAATGATATTCAAATGTCCTTTTCTTTTTCCTTCACTTTGCTTTCATACTTTTTTTATTTCTTAATCTTGACTGGGAACATGAGCTTCACGTTGAGTTCCTATTACTCTGCAGGTATGACATGACCTCGAACTGTTGGCAAAAGGAGTCCAGTGTACCCAGAAAAATTCAGCACAACAAATCAGTTGGTTTCGTAGTGTTGAATGGCGAGTTATATGTCATGAGTCTTCTTAATGGAGTCGATTTGACTGAAACCCGACGGGGCAGACAGCAGAAGAGGGCAGGAACAATGTTAAGCCAAATCTACCATCCCAGCAAGAAGACATGGAGATCTCTCGTCACTAAATCACCATTCAGTAACCAGCTGGATTTCAGTACAACTGTTATGTGTACCATTCAGCTATAGGGGTGTGTCTCCTATACCGCAGCTATTTGCACCGGAGTTGTTCATGGATGGTGCTCGGTTTGATCATAGCATCGTAGTAGGTCTATGTACAGATTGATAAGACTATGGGTTATATCTCCAAAAGGTAAATCATCAGATCATTTGGAATCATTGTAAATGTTACACATTGTGTCAATTTCATCCAAGTAGTATAAATAATTAGCATATGTACAGGATATAAACTCCTATAGTAAAGCTGGGTGAATTCGTTGCATTTAATCCTTTCTTCAAATGTTGTTGAATAAACTTCTAAACACTGTCGACTCACCAAAACTCAAGTTTTACAAGTTCACTTTGCCTAGAAAACTCTTTTTCAGTTTCCCATGTTATGGTTCATTATAATGACTTCAATATATGTCAAATATTGTTATTTTTGACCCCCACTCAATTCTTTTGTCTGCGTTATATGCAAGTTTTAGTCTTTCTTATGAAATTTCAAGGGCTGAATTGGACCTAATATATATATATATATATAATGACTCCAAATAAGATGTCCATCACACTCAAAATATTAGACAGTAGATTGTATCTTGGTCTACCTACCCAATTCAACCAGTGCAGGTATGTCAAACACGTAACACAACATAGATTACATCCATATGATGACAAAAACATGATTTGTAATGTGACAAAAAGCCATAACTCAAAGTTATATCCCCAAAGTGAACCCTGAAAGAATGAGTGACTATAGGGTTCTTACCTCTTGTCAAACTGCATTTCCAAGATCTTAGCTGATAGAATGAAGTTTGAAATTCCTCAGATCATCCATCAGTCCTGACCAATGTGCTTTTCATTGAGGGGAGGAAGATTGTGGATGAATCTCCTCTTAGCTCAATAAATTTCTTTTAAGCACACTCTCGTCGGTCTGGGCTAACCCCTGGATGCACTTTGAAAATGGGTCTTATTCAGGCTTTTGACTGGTGCTTCCTTTTGAATATTCTTGGGAAGTCCTGTATCACTACAGCAAAGGCTTTCTCTTGGAGATAAGAGGGTTTTCTGGGCTATTTTCCTGGCAAAGTCGGATTAGAGACCATCAAAAATGTAAATTTTTTAAATATATTTTTATATAATATAATTATTGTTTTGTTATAATAAAATCCAAAATTACAATATATATATATATATAAATAAAATTTAAAGATTTATTTATTAATTTATCATAATTTTAAGTATAATTAGAGGTTTTGACCGATGATATTAGAGTCTGCCGACAGGAGGAGTATTTGAACATTGAATTGTAAGGTGGAAAAGATCATAATTAAGGCCTTTTTTTTAGCCGTACAATAGTCATATAACGTGGGGATTATTATGTGCATAGAAATACATATTTTACACACATATATATATATATAATTTGAATACAAACTACTTTATTTAATTTTGATTTGTCCAATCAATCAACAGTAGTTTAC